ATATATCTTCAACATATCTGGAATTAATCCGGCAGTGCAAAGACCTCCAGGTATTACGACTCTTCGACTGCAATATAAATCCTGACTTCGTTAAAAAAGCGTCTGAAGTATTACATCAGAATGAGTCAAAAAATACGTTACAACTATTAATTCACGGTCGTCATAACTCACTTACGTTAGAGGATTTTAGAGCAAATGCCTCAGCCAGCAATAATATGATCTTCCGTTCAATGACAGCATCTGATCTATTAGCATTATAAAAATAAAAATAATAAAAAAAAGTATATAATCTAATACTAATACTCTAACTTATCGTAATCTGAACCTACACAATTTACAATACATTTGTTACATATGTGCAATATCTGTAGAAACTCGTGTAGAGGTGGGCTCACTTAGCGTATCGACCTAAATGTGTTTTATCCGACGAAAGAAAACTCTTAAGACAAAATTGTTTATTTAAATTTTACCCACCCATTTGAATAAAAGCGCCTGCGGTGCTTGATGCCGAAAAAAGTTAAAAGTAAAAGCATTATTGGTGGGAGGAGTGGCATTTCCAATTATGCGAAACTCCGAACTGTTAATGAAATGTGTCAGAAACAATTTGGCATAATTTTTCACTTAAAGCTAAAAACAATTTATAATTAGAAAAGGCTCTTAGAGTGGTCGAAAAAAGACAATAAACGAAATAATGGCACCTGTTGTGCAGACTGCGATGTCGCTGACTTTCCTCTCATTTTGCAGTGACAGTAATCAGGACGCAGGACAAACACAGTGATTGCTGATAGACAGGGGCAGACAGGGAAAATGAAATGGCAACTGTCGCAGACGGAAGTGCGTCAAGTGTGGCGGAAGTGGAATACGAGAAGAACAAGCTGGCGGACCGGAAGCGGCCATTGTGTTTTGGCGGTGAAAATGGAGGTGGCGGCGGAATTTATTGTTTCTTTTTTAGATCTTACTCACTGGGTCTCGGTTAAAGTGTTTTATTTATGACGGACTCCAGCGCATCATATTTTGTGTGTTGAAACAGTATTGTTGATCAAAAATTAAACTCCATTCTGTCATTAACTGCATAACTTTGATTTGAAACCATTTTCTCTTTAAAGGGAGCTGTATGGCAATGCATTCAACATAATTAAATTGTTCTACAAGTGTAGAAAATTGATTGCCATGTTCCTGTCGTTCGAGAACTTAAGAAAGTAATTGCACTGTTTGACAAGGTCCAAACAAAACCGTGTGACCTTTTCACTCTTTACAGCCTTAACTTGCAATGCCCTTTGGACAGAAGTCTCAAAGTTTTTGGCAAAATCTCTTGGCTTGTTGACACTTGAACTGGTTTGACATGGTGCAATGCTCCATCAGACTATTTCGTAATTGGATATTTCGAAACATTTTAAAATGTCGTGCAAATTTTCGATGCCAAGCTGCAGAACTTGGTGAAGTGTTTCAATTAAAACTTGCTCAGCTTGTTGACATTTATCGAACACAAAGCCATCAGTGTCGCATCCGGTTGTAACCAGGGGTTTTTGTCAAGCTAAACGCCCATCCACATCCTGTCTGCCCCTTGACATCCTGGGGCCTCCTCAACATGATGGTAGTTCTTAATGTCATTGTTGAAGGGCTCGTAGTTTGCTGGTAGCAGACATCTCAGATATTTTCCAAGGAAGTGCACTTGCCAAAGGACATTTCGCAGCAATAACCAGAAACAGAGCTCTGCAATCAACGATTGGCTTTCATCTACTGGCTTTGGAATGGGGTTAAAAGTCGACTGAATTATACCAAAGTTTTCTTGTCACAAATAGCTTGCTCTCTCTTTTTATTAAAAAGAAATAACAGTTTAAAAAACTTGTATACAACTGAATTCATTTCTATGGCCTTAATTTATCTCAGCTTATAAAATTCTCAAAAAACAAATTAATTTTAATAACCGTTTTAGCTGTTTTACTTTGCTTTGCATTTTGAAATGTTCAATTTTTTGCGTATGACATAACTATTTTATTTATCACATTTATTTAGGACTTTTTTTCACAAAATGGTTTGGCTATTTAAAAAGTCATGGCCTGCGCTGAATTTATGTTGAACATTAATGAGTGCAGAAAAAATTGATTAATGTCTCTCATTAGCTCAATGGCTTTGTTCGTCGAGGCATTTAACATCTGTTTTAAAATTAGTTGACCTATTTGAACAAGGGAAAAATGAAATTTCGGAGTGCTTCCAAGCCATTAACATTGCATGGACTATTGTGAGAAAACAAGGACTGAAATTAATGTGGCAGGCAATATAGCTATGACAGATTTGCGTCGGCGAATTTCCCGGGGACCGGAGATTTTGACACGCGTGCAAAGTGATTGCGTTTTGTTGCCATCAAAATACACATAAATAATCCAATTAATTGACAACGGCGACACGAGGCATCCTTTTGGGACCCCGAATAATTGGTTTACGGCTAAAGGACCTCCACTCGCTCAAAGTGGCGGTTTGAAGTTTCAGAAGCTGTTTCGCAGTTTCAGGTGTATTTGATGAACCCCTCGAGCCCTCGAGACCCGCACAAAATGGCTAATTGGTTGCACAGAAAGGTACATAATTGGCAGGGCGGGTATCGGATGGGCCAATTGGACCCGGAGCGAACTGTTTAATTGAATCTGGCCAGAAGGGTTCTACGTAATAAATAAACCGTCGCCAGGGAGCAGGATGTATAGATTGTCCCATCTTGGTCTAAAAAGTAGTTAAAGCTTCTCAAGTATATCCAACAAATAAAGAAATACAAAACACCAGGAATTATCAAATGTGACCCAAATTAATGTCCCAGTTATGATTTATTTATGGCATCCCCTAGAGATTTTATTTGGCAAAAAATCAATTTATTAAATGTATTAAGTGCATCGCCTGCATGCTTGCATTAAAAAGCAAATATGACGGAAAAAATGGTACAAATTTGCCAGTGTCAGTCGACATTTTTCACCATATTTTCGCTATCACAATTTTAAATAATTAACCCATATAAAGTTCACTTGCCGACTTCAACGGATGAATTGAGGCCCAAAGTCAACGAACCGATAAATACGAGTTCATAAATCCTCGAAATGCATTTTGTAATTAAGTGCACAAATATTTAAGCTTGGCTTGAGGGATGATACTTGTTCGCATTAAATGCATAATTAGCGCTGCTCTTTTGTATAATGTATTTTAATAAACTTTCAGCGTATGCCTTAAACAAATATCACGCAATGCATTGTAGATAAATTTGAATGCATTTCATGGGCTTTAAATGTTGAGCAACATTTCTGTGCTTTTTTCATCAATATTAATATATTCCAGCACTTTTTTGCCCGCCACTCTTATCGCTGTGTGAGAATGGAAAACCCGCACTCGAAATGTAAGAATTCATTCAATTGCAATTGCAAATTTGTGTCACTGAACTGTGAAACAATAAAGATTATCCGCCCGGAGATGAGAATGCAATGTATGACCGGGTTTCGGTTACCAATTTAAATATCAGTTGGGCTGACTTGCGAGGGTAGAACAGCAAAAAGGATTTATTCTCGGGACAGTTTCAACGTTCTGAGAAAGCAAATAATGTGGCTAATAAGACTGAAAATATAACAGCAAATACATACGTGTCTATTTAATGCCAGACCTGAATTAATCGCAAATGAAAATGAACCAAAGGATCTGGTTTTGCAGATGAGTGCCTCGGCATCCGTTGACATTCACTGATTAAGAGTGGACCGAAGTGAACTGGCTGATTGGAGAGTTCTTTGTATTTTCTGGACCATTGTTTGCATGGCCCGGGGCTCAGAGGTTGGCAATAGGATTGGCTTTCGAGCAGAGCCGATTGGCCAAGTTGTGTCTGGAATTGGCTATTTGCTTGGCACTCAACTACTTTGCAGATTTGCTCTATATATGTGCTGGCATATTTAATTAGCAGCAGTCTCACAAAATTGCCCGACATCTGACAAATTATGCCAGTGTGTGGCGTAGCCTGTCCTTTTGTCCGTATGTCCGTATGTCCGTGTGTCTGTGCGACAGGACGAAAAGGACGACAGGACTCGGCCACTAATGCACTCGGGCTAAATTATTAAACATTCATTGTCTCTCTCCAGCGATGCCTCGCTGCCTGTGTGTTTTCAACGAGTTTTCAGTGCGTAAATAAAACAGAGGCTGTTCGCTGCTTAGTTTGCACATCGCCACTCGCATCACACACTGCGTATACGCAATTTGCATTGCATTCGAGAATGCCCCATGCACTTTCAACCCCGCAACACCGCAACACACGCGCAATCTCACAAACACTATACACTCACAGTAGCAAGTGCCAGCTGTTGTCTATTAAACGTCAATTCCAATTTGTATCTGGCTTAAAAATAGCAATTGCAAAACCTTGCCAATCACGGACCCCAAATCCCGAAACGCTACAAATATTGTACTATTCCCATTTTCTGCTTGCTCATTTCATTCGGTTTTAGGTAAATGAAATACCCAAAAGTCCGACGTCCCTGCTCCGGGCGAACATTCGATTTTCCCAAGTGTCATTATTTAATTATACCTTAAGCCGCAGCCCAGCTGACAAAATGCCTGCATCACGATGCAATTCCGCTCAATTGCATTTTCCGAAAATAAACACCTGTCATTCAGGTGGGCGAATGGGAGTGTGGGAAGTGTGTGAAGTGCAGCCTCTTCGCAAGAATGTAGTACAAATTATTTCCAGCAGCGGAAAGCTTGTTGAGTTTAATCAAAATGCAAACTTACTTAGAAGTTAGTTACGTGTGCCTTCCGGTGTGTCAGGAAAATGTCTGCGTGTGTGTATGTGTTTAATTTATTTAAATTCATCCGTATGGGCTGAAATCCAGTAATGTTGTTGGCAGGTGCAAATTGAATTTATTTAATTGTCGTACGATTGGCTTAGTGCGCTCTTAGGAAAATTTATGGCTTGCAAGTTATACAATTAACAATTATTTACCAATTTTTACAATTATTTTACAATTTAACAATAATTTATTTAGCAATTTAGAAATCGTCAAGCATCTCGACTTCGAATCTTTTAACTGTCAGCCTTATACGTTCAAGTGGCCTATTAATAATTTTAAGCTGCAATTGTACAATACACAATGATATTTGTTATAACGCCTTTATTTCGATGGTTTGAATACTAACCTGCTTGCCATTTAAATATTTAGCGGCATTTTCTTGCTTGACCCTTTCACGTGTACGTGAATGATGTGTATTCCAGAGTATGTGAATATCAAGTATACCTTGATCTCTGGTCATTAGAACCACTTTCTCAAGGCTTAGCACAAACTTTTTGGTTATTCCATCAACAGGAATTCGCATTTGAAAGAAGCTCAGCTTGTTACAGTTCCTTAAAATGGGGTATAGGCATCTCGATAAGCTTACATTCTTGGGGTGGTGTTCCGATAACACCACAATACTCTCTAGATCTTTCAGCTGAGCCAGAGGCAGAGTGTAAATCAATTTCTTAAATCCACATGAGATTTTTCTTAAACACTTAAGCGTTGGTAAAGCTTCAGCTGCGGCTTTGTTAAGGTGTTCGTTAAAGTCATTTTCAAACGATGTATATATCTCTAATTCCTGCAATGTTTCGAAGTTGGATTTGGATAAATGTAGAAGATGCTGAATTGTCGGCACATATTCAGTTTCTAATATAATGCAGCGAAGATTCGCTGGAAATGAAAATGGCAAAACATCATCGAGGGAGGATTCTATTTTAAGAGTCCGCTCCTGAGGATCCAGGCTTATGTCGCAATCGTCACATATTATCTTCACACCTTGCTCCAAGAAACGGACCATTGTGGATTCCATAAATACGATCGTTTTAACAGGCAATATTAGTTTTTTAAGGTTTTTCAGTTTCAGAAACGGCTCTAAGTTATCAAGCCAAAAACTTTCGTCATTCCCTTCACAAGAAAGTACGGATCCTTCAAACCTAAATTTCAAATCCAAATTTGAGACAATGACTTTGTTTTCTACCAAAGCTGAAATATCATCGTTAACTAGTGGATTCGTACTGAGTATGCTTATTCGGTTTATTTGTGGGTGTCGTGCAATATGCCTAATGCTCTTGGGATCACAGAATCCGCACTCCAACATTCGTAGACTTTTGATTTTCGCAATAGCCTGTGCCAATTGATCGTCAATGTCAAAACCAATGCACAATTTGATTAGCGTAGACTTTTCCTTTTCACGTAAAGCCGTAAGGAGCTTAAGGATTGAAATCGATTGCAATGAAGATGACCAGTGAACTCCTCCTCCAGTGAACTCATTGTGCCATTCTTCATTTTTATCCGGCAGCTGAAATTTTGGAATGTTTGCAGTCGTTGTGACAATTTCCAACTGTCGTAGCGTTTTAAATCGAGATAGGCCGACGTAATCATTATCCCATGGATTATCATCTAGTAGAAATTTTAAATTCTTCAAGTTCCGGCAGTGGGGAACGATTTCAGAGAGCTTTCCAAAGTCGGAAAAGTGACATTGATTCACTTCCAAATAAACCAATGAAGGGTTATTAATGCAAAATTTCTTAAGGTCAGATATTGCAAAAGACGCTGTTAGGATGAGCTTCGAAATATTTCGAAAAAGATGAAGGTTCCTTATTTCGTAATCTACAACGAGAAAATTATTCTAAAGAACAAAATACATGCCGATAAGCAAGGATTCCATTTACATGCGATATCAACAATTAACTCCTTGAATTTCGGTATTTTATCCGTATCCAACGTAATGCGCTTAGCCTTGCCTTGCAATCCCATTACAATTTCTTCAAATATACTCGAGTGCTCCATGTTGTAGTCCGGATCGTTATAATGCAGTTTAATGACTCGAAGGTGTGAATTCCCCATCATGCTCTTAATATACGTGTCCATGTACAGGTCTCTTTTTTGCTTTGTGGCTCCCTGCAGACTTTTATGAATCTCCTCGAACTGTACCGTGATTTTTTTGTGAGGAACAACATACAGCAGGTCGATTTCTAATGATTGGTACATCGATAAAGACCAGTCCCAAACGATTCGCCGAAATTTCTGGCAACTGACAGCAAAATTAAAGATATCAGCGTATTTGAGGGGAGCCAAAGGTTCATCGCCATTCTGCCTTTCGCAGTTTTCCTTCAGAATGTCGAGTATGCGAAAGTACGCGAAATGAATGATGTCAAATATAGTCTTTACGTCTCCCATTTTATTGAAACGCACTCTCCGCTACGAACTCTGAAAGTACACTGGTTAGCTCGGAGACCTATTTACTGGACGGGCAATACGCACTTACCCTATACTTTTGGGGTGGCTACGGCTGCCTGATATTTAAATAACTTCTCTCTAAACACATGCACTTACATATGTATAATATAAAAACAGGGTATTTTCCTTTACATGCAAAGATAATTTACTTGGCACTGTCTCGCTGATAAGCCGCTGATAAAGCAAAAAACTTGTCAAGCAAAAACACTTAATAATGTATATAAACAGTGATTAGGGTGGACCTAAGCTACTTCGTATGTTTTAACCACTACTTTTCCATATTTTCAGTGCATATTCAATGCATATTCTGGCTTGTTAGTGGATCGTCTTTTTATTATATAGTTTGATGGCCCAAGTAAATTGGATGGGGTGTATGCATATAGTGCTCGTTATGTTAATGTGCCGACGGACATCATTATTTAAAAGTTGAGGGCATCGCTGGGATTTATGATCTCCGCCACGCCTTGCGAATGAAAACTTAAAGCGCAGTTAAAGTTTGTTAAAGTAGTTGCCGCGGCAAAGTGAAACTGGCAGCTGCACTTAATTTGCAGTCAGCTCATTTGTTTTGCCAACCGACCACCCACACCACCCACACCACCCACACCACCCACACCACCCATACAACCTTCAACCCAAAACCTCACGAAGCTTGCATTTTTCTCTGCCTGCCCCCTTTTCGTATCCCAGTTATCTGGTACTCCTTACGTCTCTATACCATGGTATGCGGTTAAAAAAGGGAAGAAACTTTAGAAGCCGTTACTTCTTGTTCGTCCTTCCACCGCCCAGAAAATCCTGGCCGTAGCGTTGTTGTTGCGGGTGCGTGTAATCTACTCAAAGCAAATAAATTTTTAATGCTGACTAATGTAGAAAATGTGAGCAGAAATTTACCTGGAAAACTATAAGAGACCGTGGCATCAACTTTCGCATTTTTACTCCAGTCTTATGGCTCCAGCTTCCGTAGTTTAGTCCTTGGTTCTGCGTAATTTGCAACGCAGGATATTACAAATTGAAAACGAAGCCCGGCTAAGAAATTATTTGTAAAACTTCCTCCTCGGTTGCAGTGCATTTGTAAACCTGACAATTTGAGAAGGCATTCGCATCCAGCAGAGAAGTTGACCTAATTGCGAACGTAAGAACTTGACAACATTTGGAGGCATCGATGGCACTTGCAATTATGAAGGGCAACAAAACAGCGCAACAAATTGGCGAAAACGGCGAGTCATTAAAACAAACATCACAGAGAAGTTTCGCACCAAAAAACTCGAAGACATTTTAAATGCGAAAATAACTGGCACAATGGCTGGGCGAGCGGGGGGTTGCAGATGAAAATTGCAAGGCAGCTGCAGTCGCAGCAACAAATTGGCAAAATTCATAACGAGGAAAAGTGAAGCATGGGCGTAGAAAATGCCAAATCTCAGCATCAAAGCCTTTAATGTTAGTCAAATTTAAGTAACGAAACTCTGTCAAATGTTAGCATATTGAGAGAGTTTAATTGGTAGTCGAAGGTATTATTTTCTTATTTATAATTTACAACCGACTACGCCCATGGCCAAAAACGAGCAGAGCAGCTCCCACGAATGACTCGAAACAGTGGCAAGTGACAACGAGCTGAGGACGCCCAAAGGATGCTGGTGCTGCTCCTTTTGCAGTTGTTTCTGTTTCTGTTGCTGTTGCAGTTGCTGTTTGCAGTTGTTTTAGTTGGTAATGAAGGCGACTGATGTCTAGGGGCGGCGGGCGATGGAGATGGAGATGGGTTTTCGGAAGCTGGCCAAACATTAACCAGCATCAGCGAAAAACTTGCAACTTGCAGACGCGTGCAACTGAATCGAGTTCTGCAGCTGGAAGGGGCAGCGTTGCATTGTTTGCAAAATGCTTCGAGTAACTTATGCAGAATGGCTGTTGAGCAGCCAAAGCCAAGGCAACAGCAGCAAAAGTTAAGCGCCCAACAAAATGGAATTTACATTGCCTTTCACAACTTGCCCGCCAATGTCTTTGCAGCCATTGTGTGTTGTTGCATATTTGCGTTGCTTTTTAATACACTTAATAACTTTGCAATTTGTTGCTGCAATCAGCGCGCGAAGCCAGCTGTTCCCGTCATGCAAATGGCCCAATGGCTCGGACACTTTGGGTTCGCCATGGCGTATACTTAATTTGCAGACGCATTATGCAGACGGCATGTGCCAATTAAAAAAGTAAATTCATAAATTCAAAGAGGGTGGTATTACCAATTCCTTTCAATTCACTCAAAGGGTTCTGGTCGGCAGCCGCGAACACTGGGCTCTTTAAACATGCAATCCCGAATCCCTCAGAATGGTCCTGGCATCGCAGGAGCACGAAGCAGATGTTGCTGGGGCGGGTCATCGAATAAACAAACATCTGTGGCAAGTGAGGTTAGGACACAAATTAAATTTGCGCCCTAAAAGAGCATAACAAATAGACGACGCGCATACGCCGTGTGGTACGCAAAGCCGCAAAACCCACATGCATGTCGCCGGAAAACCAAGACACCGGACAACGCAAAAAATCACTCACTCACTCACTCATCCAATCGCTCACCCGCAGTGCTGGGAACCGACCAGGCATTTAGGTGTACCACTAGATACCAAAAACTACCCATTAATCTCAGCTTTTTAAATTAGTTAACATTCATGTACACAATCATATTGTTTTTGAACTCAAAAAGCACTTAGAATTTAAAGTAATTGCTAAACATTGCTACCTTTGGCTTTTTAGGAAAATAAAAGTCTTATATATATACCCGTAAATTTTATAAGTCAGCCTAAGGTATTAAAGCACCTTTTCCATAACAACTCACCTGTCTGCCACATTCAGTGAGCCATGCCGCTTAGATATGTTTGGCATGCGTGGCGAGTGACAGGGAATGGCCAAAACAGGTCCGCAACATGGTCGCAGCTGTTCCTGCTCCCAAATCCCTCACATGGCTACATCACCATCGTCATCATCGCTATAGCACTGGCGTCTGGATAATGGCTGAACCGGAAATGGCAGTTAACAGTTGCCGAACTAGCTGCCCTGTCCTCTGCCAGGTAAATAAATCAAACAAAAATGGCGACCTTTGTCTACGTGACGGGCGAACTGAACTAGCCAGGGTAAATGTACTTGGGACGCCAAAAGTCACGGAGGCTCAATAGCTTGACTGATTATGGGGCGAGTGTATAAGGTCCCTCCGACTTGGATTTGGATTGGGTTTTGGTTTTGGGCGACCGAAACTGTCGCTGAGATGTGCGTGACACAAATTGCGGGCCAGACAGAAGAGAAACTGAAACAGGAATAGAACCAGGAGCAGGACCAGGAGCAGGACCAGGACCAGGACCAGGACCTCTGACACGCAGCCAGTGTGCTGACAAATACTTCCTGTAAGATGTCTGTCCCTGTCCATCATTGGAACGCGACGGAGGACTCCAAACAGCTGGCCAATAGCAACAGTTAAGTCGATTTTGACACATGGAACACATGGCAGTTCGTTTGGCAGAAATCAATAATGTCTAGTGGAGTGTCCTTCGAGGAGGCAGGAAATGCCATTGAAGAACTGATGTGGTGCGACTGCAAAGGGAACAATTTGTCATGGCTGAAAAGTTGAGCAAGTAGGGGAATGTTCTATCTCGGGAAATGCGTTCACAGAAAACATACTTATTTACTACAGATCAAGTGTTACTGCATCGAACTTTTATACTCGTATCATTCTAAGAATCTGAAAAATGCCAGCATAATCAATGCAATAATATTAAAATGTTGCAGGACTTAACAACTGTTTTCTTAATTGTTACAATGATCAATGATGAATAGTAAATAATTATACTTCTAATTGAGTTCGCTCGTAAAACAGCTTTTCTTTTTAATATTTTGAGCAAAATATAATCAGTTTAGGCTTTAAGGTGTACACAACTGCAGCATAATGCATTTTTGAATGATGTGTATTATGTTATTTATGCCTCTGCCGAGCTGTGTTTCTGCTGTTTGCGTGACCTCACCTGACCCACTGACCCCCCTGGTGACCCCGAGCGGTGGCCACCGACTGCGAAAACTGTGACTCCATGTGTGAGTGTGAGCGCCACACAATTGAATATATTATGGAATATATATTGCGGCATATATTAGACTACCAATGGATTGCGGTCCGTGGTCCATGCAGCATTGTCCATTCGGCGTGGTGGACACTAGGGTGCTGTTTGCTTTATGGTGATCACTCAATTTGAATTAATTTGCGGCTGTCATGCCAACCTTATATTAGTTTGCAGCAATTTGCATAAATACAAGTGGAAACTTTGCGGGAGTCTCGGCTTTTGACGTGATTTTGATTGGATTGCCGCTCAGCGGGCGAATGTTAGACTGTTTATTAGGAACCCCAGATATCTTCGTACCTCAAACTCCTAATACCCCTCACTAATTCTAATTAAATTACATTTTTATCCTGTAAGCCAGGGCGGACGTTCTTCTTTGTATTTTTTACGAGGCACTCAATTTGACTTGAAAGTAACGTCGGAAAGTGAACAGCAGCTGTCCGAGCCTGAAAGCCGTTGAGGTTTTGTGGCTTTTTGGCCAAGAGCAGGGCAAGAGCACAACAGCTGGGCAAAAAAAAAAAAAGAAAAGAAAAGGGAAAAATAAATGTTTTGCCACTCTGCTTTTCACGACTAATTCGGTTTTTGTTTATCTCCACACTCTCGCCTCGCACATGGAGAGATTTTCTCCTTTATTTTTTTTCGGTTTTTCCGGGGGCCATCTGCATTGCCTTTGTGTGACAGGCTGGTCAAGAACAAGCTAACTGCAATTTGGCCGCTTTAAGGATACCCGCTGCAGATGCGCCCTAATGCCATGTGAGAATGAAGGATTAACAGCAGCCAGGATTTCTCCTCAGCCACCGCACCGCAATGAGTTGGCATTCTGCTGGCTGCAGATGCTTCTGCTGCTTAAATGTACCGAGCAGAAAACTCTGCAGGATGTCGGTGGTCACGGGAC